CCACACATGTGCACACAAATGCCCACACATGTGCACACAAATGCCCACACATGTGCACACAAATGCCCACACATGTGCACACAAATGCCCACACATGTGCACACAAATGCCCACACATGTGCACACAAATGCCCACACATGTGCACACAAATGCCCACACATGTGCACACAAATGCCCACACATGTGCACACAAATGCCCACACATGTGCACACAAATGCCCACACATGTGCACACAAATGCCCACACATGTGCACACAAATGCCCACACATGTGCACACAAATGCCCACACATGTATACACAAATGCCCACACATGTATACACAAATGCCCACACATGTGCACACAAATGCCCACACATGTGCACACAAATGCCCACACATGTGCACACAAATGCCCACACATGTGCACACAAATGCCCACACATGTGCACACAAATGCCCACACATGTGAACACAGATACCCCACATGTGTGGCCAAATGCCCTGCAGAGGGAAGTAAGTTAAAAGTTTTTATCTGGCTGTTTTCATCACTCACTCCAAGAATTGTGATACTTGTATGCCCATAAAATTGTGAATATACATGTGACCAATATTATCATTCATATTGACTGCTGCAAATATCCACACCTGATACTGAAGATTATCACAAAATGCAAGTTTGCTCTTTGGTCCTGTCAGGTCCCCGGGGAAATACCCTGCACCAGAGCAGCTGCCCGGCCCTGTTATGTTTTCCTACCAGGGCAGAGGGAGGCCCCGGAAAAATTGGACCCATGCAACGGTTAGTTTGTGGCCAATTTGTTTTTAGATTGAGTTTAGTTCAGTTGATCATTTAAAGCAGTAATTGGTTTGATATTTTATTTGATTTTATTACTTTGTTTCATTTTTATTCTTACAGTAATTCTTATTTTTGTTATTATTATTATTATTATTATTATTATTATATATATATTATTATATATTATATATTATTGTTTTGTTGTTGTTGCTGTTGATATAATTATTATTATTATTGTTATTATTATTGTTATTATTATTATTATTATTATTATTATTATTAACTTTGTTATTAACTTTATTATTATTATTATTAGCTTTATTATTATTATTATTAACTTTAATTATTTTTTAAAATTGTTATGATTATTTTATTTATTTATTTATTTATTATTTTTCTTAAATTGAGAATGATACCAAGTATCAACACATCAGTACACGCGTCTCCTCATGCAATACACGTATACACATAAATTGACACATACCCTTTTGGCATTCATATAAACATGTTCCCAGATTATCAGATCTGCATATATAGGTGGCCACACAGGCACACAAGTACAGGTGGACAAAAAATGCCTACACAGATGGACACAAAATGCACATGGAGATTCACGATGCATTTGCAGGTGCTCCATATATGTACACAAATGTGTATGTGCAAATGCACCATACACTCATACAGGTGCACCATGCAGATGTGTGGGCATACAAAACCCACACATGTGCACACAAAATGCCCACACATGTGCACACAAATGCCCACACATGTGCACACAAATGCCCACACATGTATACACAAATGCCCACACATGTGCACACAAATGCCCACACATGTGCACACAAATGCCCACACATGTGCACACAAATGCCCACACATGTGCACACAAATGCCCACACATGTGCACACAAATGCCCACACATGTGCACACAGATACCCACACATGTGTGCACAAATGCCCACAAGTGTGCGCACAAATGCCCACACGTGTGCGCACAAATGCCCACACGTGTGCGCACAAATGCCCACACGTGTGCGCACAAATGCCCACACGTGTGCGCACAAATGCCCACACGTGTGCGCACAAATGCCCACACGTGTGCACACAAATGCCCACACGCGTGCACACAAATACCCCCACACATGCACACACACGTGCACACAAATACCTACACACATGCACACACACGTGCACACAAATACCCACACAAATGCCCATACACGTGCACACAAATGCCCACACACGTGCACACAAAGGCCCAAACACGTGCACACAAAGGCCCAAACACGTGCACACAAAGGCCCAAACACGTGCTCACAAAGGCCCACACACGTGCACACAAATGCCCACACACGTGCACACAAATGCCCACACACGTGCACACAAATGCCCACACACGTGCTCACAAAGGCCCACACACGTGCTCACAAAGGCCCACACACGTGCTCACAAATGCCCACACACGTGCACACAAAGGCCCAAACACGTGCACACAAAGGCCCACACACGTGCACATAAAGGCCCACACACATGCACACAGAGGCCCACACACGTGCACACAGAGGCCCACACACGTGCACACAGAGGCCCACACACGTGCACACAAAGGCCCACACACGTGCACACAAAGGCCCACACACGTGCACACAAAGGCCCACACACGTGCACACAAAGGCCCACACACGTGCACACAAAGGCCCACACACGTGCACACAAAGGCCCACACGCGTGCACACAAAGGCCCACACGCGTGCACACAAAGGCCCACACATGTGTACACATGTGCACACAAATGCCCACACGTCCACACAAATACCCACACATGTCCACACTGGTTCAACACAGGTGTCTACTCATTCGCGCGCGCGCATACACACACACACAGACACACACACACAGACACACACACACACACACACACACACACACACACACACACACACACACACACACACACACACACACACACACACACACACACACACAGACACA